GTGTCTTAGTTGCTTCCTGCTGCCTTCAGATATGGATGCAGAACACTCAGCTACCTCTCCAGCTCCATGTCTGCCTGTGTACCTCCATGCTCCCTGCCATGATAATAATGAACTAAACCTCTGGAACTGTAATACGGCCCCAATTAAGTGTTTTCCTTTACAAGAGTTGCTGTTGTCATGGTGTCTCTTCACAGCAATAGAAACCCTAACTAAGACACCATCTTACTGATGCTCAGAGTGACATTTCTAACACAAAAATCATATCATGCCACTCCCCCATTTAAACCCCTCAATGGTTGTCCCTTCAAAACATGGGAACCCTGTAGTAGCCTACAACAATCAAAGGATTGTCCCTGCAAGATCTCCAGCTTAATTCAGTATCGTTGAGAGGCCAGATCACAGTGTCCTCAGTGCTAAGCCCTGAGAAGATGGTGCTGCCTCTGCCTTGTGAAGTGACAAAAAGGAGCAACATAAACTAAAGCAAGTGTAAGTCCAGTTTCACTTTTATTTGATTTTTTTTTTTTTTTGGTTTTTCGAGACAGGGTTTCTCTGTGGCTTTGGAGGCTGTCCTGGAACTCGCTCTGTAGACCAGGTTGGCCTTGAACTCACAGAGATCCGCCTGCCTCTGCCTCCCAAGTGCTGGGATTAAAGGCGTGCGCCACCAACGCCCGGCTTATTTGATTTTTTATATAAGTTCGTCCTTTAAAAAAAACTGACCCCCCCTCCTTCTCCCACTTCTCCCCAGCACTGAGTGCTCCCCACGCTCTGCACCTGGCCCTCACTTCAGTTCTGTGGTCCATACCTCTTCTTCAAGCTAGTGCTCCCGTTCCTTCAACCTGTACCCTTCCCCTTGCTCTCACCACTTTCCACAGGTGACTCCTCTGTGTGCTTCAGGCTCCACCGCGAAAGCCCATTCCTAGGGAACGTTTTCTCTGGACAGCTCTTGCTAGATCTGCACTGGGCTTCTACATGTCAACAGTGTTGCTTCCTTGGCTTGCCACATGTTCCCAAGCTCCTGTGCACACATCGGCACATTTCTAGTCATGAACATGAAACTGCATGGATGGAGCAAGCCGAGTGTCTGTGTCTGCTCTGCTCCACTTTCTGTGTGGCAGGTTCATTTCCTCTCTCTGGGCTGTTCCATTTGGGGGTGATACAGAGGTGTTATAGTTCAAGTCTGGGACTTCAGAGGCCCATGTGCTGAGGGCTGCTCCCTGGGGCTTTTTGGAGGTGGTTAGGAGGTAAGGCCTAGTGAGGGAAGTTAGGCCACTGAGGATGCACCCTTGAAACAGATTTGGGAACCCTGTCCTTTCTCATTTCCCTTTCTTTGTGTCTTAGCTGTCATGAAGAGAACAGGCTTCCTCTGCCACACACACACCTGCCATGATTCATTGGGGCTGCCACAGGCCTAAAGCAATAGGGCTGAGACACAGAGCAAAATAATCTCTTTCTTGCATTAAGTTGATTGTCTTCAGGTACTTTGACACAATGAGAAGTTAACACACGAGGCCGGTGTGTGACCCCAATACTCAAGCATCCATCCATTTGCTCACTGACTTCACTCTGTCATCTCTTGGTGATGCTTGTGAAGTCTCCCTTGTGTCTGGGCGCTGGGGACTCAGAAAGGAATCCAAAGCAGAGGTCTACACAGAGTGAAGGTGATTGACTGACCCTACCCAGCATAACTGGTCACATGGATAAACTTAAAAAGACATGCCGGGCAGTCATGAGGGAGTGCAGAGGAAACAGCCATCAGAAGGCTCCAGAAAGGCTTTTCAGGAATGTGACTGGAAAGGAGGGGAGGAGAAATGACACCCAGGGACCTGCGTTCCAGGTCAGTTGGGTGTGTGCAGGCTCCTCGGGGAGCCTTTGCTTTCACAGTTCTAACTTGGTCTTGTACAAACCTCTGGTGTGTCTCATCCTGCCTCCTCCAAGCTACCTCTCCAGGGCTATCTAGCCATCATCCTAAAAGTGACCTCTTATCACTGACACACAAAGTAAGTTCTTCAGTCAGTCAGGCCCCACCATCTTCCCCTAGCTTCCTTGCCCAAGGCTCTCCTTGCAGCCTTTGCTTCAGGCAAACAATGCTGATGCCAGGTCCTCTGCTGCGCGCCTTTGCCCATCACTGCTGTCTGCCTAGAACACTGTCTGCTCCCTCCTACCTGCATGATGTCCTGTTTCAGGAACATTCCTTCCTGTGCTGTCATCGTACTTCATATGACATTATTGCACTCAGCACCGAGGACTGAACTGAGTAAGGAACTCTTCCCAGCCAGGGCTGCTACTGGCATTGTTTTCTTAAAGAGAGAGAGGGGGAGGGAGAGGGAGGGAGGGAGGGAGAGAGAGAGAGAGAGAGAGAGAGAGAGAGAGAGAGAGAGAGAGAGAGAGAGAGAGAGAGAGAGAGAGAGTATGTGTGTGTGTATGGTGTCTCAGGCTGGATGCCTGTGAAGGTCTTATGGCCCTTGGGTTGAACGAGTGAACAAACAGAAGAGGCTCCGATGAGAAGAAGGAAGGAAGGGATACATTTACTTTAACTAAGTTTGGTTTGAGTGGAATGGTTTCCGTAGGCTCGTAAGTTTGAGTGCTTGGTCCCCGGTTGGTGGAACTGCATGGGAAGGACTAGGAGGTGTGACTTTATTGGAGGAGGTGTGCCACTAGGGGCAGCCTTTGAGGTTTTAAAAGGCTTGTGGCATACCCACTGTTTCTCTCTGTGTGAATCAAGATGTGAGCTCTCAGCTGTTCCTTGGCTGTCATGAACTCTACCCTCTGAAACAATAAGCCCAATTAAATACTTTCTTTTATAAATGTCTTTGGCCATAGTGTTTTATCACAGCAATAGAAAAGTAACTAAGACATCATGCTTAAAAATTCCTCAAGTCAGCTCTGAACTTGCCCTCGAGCCTCCATAGAGACAGTCATGTTGTTTCTACCTGACCTTTAACTTTCTTGGCGTGGCATGTATGCTGTACTTGGCCACTTAGATCAAAGGTTCTCAACCTATGGGTCATGGCACATTTCAACAGGGGATATATATCAGATATCCACTTTATGATTCATAACACTAGCAAAATTACAGGTATGAAGCAGCAACAAAATAATTTTATGGTTGGGTTCACCACAACATGAGGAACCGTACTAAAGAGTCACAGAATTAGGAAGGTTGAGAACCACTGACTTAGTTACATGTTTCCCTGGGAAATACACACAGGGATGTATAAATATCATGATAATTCTAAGCAATTTGAAGTATTTTTTATGTTGAAACTACCACATTACAGGCTAAGTTCCCAAAGGATACAAAGTGCTTTAGAATAAAATAGCATATATGAAAATGATTATAGGATGAGTTTCTTGAACAATGTTTCCAAGATACTGTCCGCCATGGATGATACTCTGATACATGGTTGATACTTGAATACTTTGCAAACATCAGGGTGAGTTTCCCACTAGTACATGAGTCACGCAGGCTGAGAAATCTGAGAACAGTCATGCATTTGAGGAATGCATTTCTGGTATCCAGCAGGCAGCCTGTGAAGCACTGAACCCCATTGAAAGCTTGTGGGGACATGGACTCTGTTGAAATCCTCTCCCTCTGCTCTTAGCAGCTCTTCAATACCCTTGGTTAGTGTCTCCTCTGCTGTGAAGTTTGTCCGGGTGACACTGTCCTTGGGTTTCATTTAGTACCAGTACTAGCTCAGTGCTAGTACTGAGTGATCAGGCTGTCACTCTTCACTTATTGGACCCTTCTACAAGGAGTTGGCTTGGGAAGGGTCTGACTTCCTGATACCTAGCAGAGGAATTCTCTGAGAATTTGTTGAGTGAATAAAGTAATAAAACTAGTTGAAAGATGTGCCCCCAAAGGAAGATGAAGTGATTCTATGTTCTCTCTCTAGGCCTATTTTTATTTTTTACATTTACATGTATACTATGTATTTATGTTTATGTGTGTGGGCTCCTACATGCTACAGGTGTGCATCTGCAAGTCAAGGGACAACTTATGGGAGTGAGTTCTTTCCCTCTGCCAGGTAGGTTCCAGGGATAGAACTCAGATCCTCACCACTGGCAGCAAGCACCTTTACTGCTGAGCCATCTCAGTGGCCCACAGACTCAGTGTTCTTAACTTGTGTTGTAGGCTGAGTGATGGCCCAGATATTCAAATCATTTGAACCTGTGGTTATAACCATGTTTGGAAAAAGGTATTTACATATACACTTATTTTTCCTCCCTTCTCCCTCCCTCTCCTTCTCTCTTATTTTTTTGGAATAGGGTCTCATACTGTAGCCCATGTAGCTGGCCTGGAACTCATTGTGTAGTTCACTCATGGTAACTATTTAAGTGTTGCTATTACATGCATAAGCTACTCTGCCTGGCTCTGCAGATGTCACTTAATGAAGAATCTCAAGATGAAATCTGGACAGGACATCTAAATTCAATGTCAATGTCTCCATATGAGAAAGAAGACACAGGGAGAAGTGGAGAAGGTCAGGAGAAGACAAAGACTGCAATTATGCAGTCACGGAAGTCTGAGAGCCACTAGAAGCCGGAAGAGCAAGGAGGGAGGACACCCCAAACTGTGGGAGAATGCATTGCAGTTCTTTCTAGCTACCAAGTTTGTGATAATTTGATATGGCAGCCTTGGCAAACAAGCACAGCTTAGAAACAGAAGTATGTTTTCTGTGAAATTCCACTGGATCTTGGCACTGCATAGGTTGAGCTAGATACTATTTGGAATTTCCCAAAGACTCATTTTTCAACAGACACCTGACCCTATAACTGAGGCTCCAGTCATGAGGAACTGCTCAGTGTTTCAAAATAGGAGACTGACATCAAAGCAATTCAGATGCAGTTCGTCTTCCCCTGAGAGATAATATGTTCTCCTTCTATTTTAAGAAGGGGGAGGGGCTGGAGAGATAGCTCAGTTGGTACTTACTGAACAACCATGAAGATCTGAGTTCCAGCTCCAGTATCTTAATAAAACCCCTGGAAATGGCAGTGCATACCTTTAATCCAAGTGCTAGGAAAGCAGAGACAGGATCCTTAGGGTTCACAGGCTGGCCATTCTCGCCCTACTTGATAAGTTCCAGGCTAATGAGAGCCCCTGTCTCAAAACACGTGGTGGACGGCTCCTGATGAACAATACTTGAGGCTAACTTCTGACCTCTTCAGGCGCACACATATGCACACGCATACCTGGCAACACACAAACATGTGCACACACGTCACTTTTTAATAATGGTGCTAGGAATTGAACCCAAGGTCCTGTGAATATTAAGCATCTACGTAACCACTGAGCTATAGTCCCTCCCACCCAGTAAAAGACTCAAAATCCACCTAATATATGCTAAGGTTCGTGGGCACTCATTCTGCTCAGCGATAGAATCCCAAACTGCCTGCTTCCTGTTGTGTCTGCCCTTCCGAACACTGTGTTCTTTCTGCTCTACAGTCCAGGTGGCAGAGAAAGTACCACTCTAAGCAAGGAGGGAATCAATATCCTGCAAAGTGACTCAGAGCTACTTATAGAAGCAATGGCTATGGTTGCTATTATGATCAAAGGAGTCTTCAGGAAAGAGAGGGCATTTGAACTGTGCCTTCATGTTCAGTTCCTTATTCTTTGCGGGCACTGGGGATTCAGGGATGAATCAGACAAGGTCCTCTGGTTGAGGAATCCACGTGTGCCTGTTTGTGTGTGTTAAATGCCTATTAAGACAGAGTGGAGGTTGGTGTAGTGACACACACCTGTAATCCCAGCACTTGGCGAGCTGAGGCAGACCGAAGTACATGATGAGTACCTCTCCCCAAACAGACAAAGGCTACACAATAGAATAAACTGGATGGTGGTAGAGGCAAGGTTCCTAATTCAAGAATCCCAGAGAGATGAGCGAAGTCTTTTTGAAGAAAGGATTCCTGCCCCAGCAGAAATATGGCTAAGCAAGAATTCGTCACAAGCAGTAAAGGATTTCTAGGCAGAACATAAGCATCCCACCCGCAGAGGTGAGTCTCCTGGGTGGTTGACACACTTTGTGGCTAAGCTTACTAGTACTAGAAGCTAGAAGTGTCGTGGACTTGCGGGTCTGAGTCGATTGTTGAAGAACTGGTGGACTGCCGGATGGATCTCTGGTCTCAGGAATCCTCTCGGTGGCGGCTCCCCTCTCAACCATAAAGCTCGGCTTTTTTTGTACGTGAATGGGAACACTGGGCCAGACAGACCCATCCATTCCGACTCAGCTGGTTCCAAACTCCTTCCCCTGGCCCTCCTCTGGAGGCTCTGTTACTATGGCAACTAGGTTAGGGCGGAAGTGGCTTAGAAGACCGACTCTCACTAATCAGGTGACTCTCCAGACTTCTGCACGTGACACCAGAGCCCAGGCGCGCGCTCTATCTAATCAAGATGCCGTCCCTCTTTCACCGACAACTGACAGCGCTCTAGAGCAATGGCCTATGAGGCTCCACTAGGAGACCCCACCTCTCAACAGTGAAAGGACCAATTAGGCTGAGGCAAAGAGAAGTAACGCCCCAGGTTTCGCCCGGGTTTGACAGACGCAATTGAGGCCATCCTAGAGTCCCTCCGCCCCTAACCATTGCGGTCCGTGATGGACGGACTTGCTACCCAATAGCACGTCCCTTGGCCGCTACTGGGTCCCGCCCTCTGAGGATCGGAACCAATGAGCACGCCAGCTCCTGGCCGGGTGGAAGGGTTGCACTGCGGTAATATGGCTCTTCCTTAGCCAGCGGCGGTGGCCAGTGCGGGCGCCTAGCTGCCGGCTCTCTCGGGTGGTCCGTTTCTAGGCTGCAGGGGCTCGGTGGATAGCGACTCCGGAGGCGGCGGCGGCGGATGCGGGAGGAGTGCCCGCCTGGCCGCTCGGCGGCCCAAGGGTCCAAATGAGCTCCTGTGCCTCCCTCGGGGGCCCGGTGCCCCTGCCACCCCCGGGCCCGTCCGCCGCGCTGCCGCCCGGTGCCCCCGCGCGGGCCCTGCATGTGGAGCTGCCGTCCCAGCAGGTGAGCCTGCCGCGAGCCGGGGCCGGAGAAGAGGGAGAGGTAGTCGGCTGGGCTCGCGGGACTGAGGAGGGCTGACAGGAGGAGGACCCCGCATCCTGGGCCGGGGGAGCCGGGCGTTCCCGCGCTCAGATCTCCGCATCCCTCCGGGAAGGCGCCGGGTAGCCCTGCGCCCTGCTGGCCGACGCCGCGCTTTCCCTTTCGCTCCCGCGCTGAGGAGTAGGTTTTCTGCACTTATTCTTAACGTTATGGGGTACCTTTTTCTGCTCCTCCTGAGGAAGGCATCTGGGACGTCGGGGTTTCTTTCCCAAGTCTCAGATTCTTATGGCACACTTCACTCCCTTGGGTGAACGTCTGGAAGGATGATTTGAAATATGTATTCATATCTTGGACCTTAGGTTGCAGGGGTAGAAGGACGAGAGAATACTGACTTTGGGGATCTGACAAAATTCTTGGTGACACCCCCTATCTATATAGTGAGTCTTCTACTGCCTTCCCGTACTCCTCAGGATGAGACTCTATAGGGTCCTTAGCACTGAAGAGGACCAGGAGAAACTGTTAGTCATGGAGAAGCTACCGTGCTAGGTATGTGCAAAATGCTCATTGAATCCTCACAACTCCATGATACAGCTGTTTTTATCATCCCGATTTTTCTGTTCTAGAAACAGGCTTGCCCACTGCCTTCCTGTTACTGTTAATGGTGGGACTGGGTTTCCTAATACAGTGTCTGACTATAGCAGAGTTTGTTTGAGACTTGAGCAGCGACTCCGCCACAGTCCACAGGACAGAGCAGGCTCCCTTAGCCCCTTCCTGTAACTTTCCGTCCTTGCCAGAGACAGGAAGGAGCCACACAAGAGCACAGAGGCTGTGGGAGAGAGGGCCAGGCATGAAGTGAATGTAAAGGAAAGGGAAATGTTGCACACACTCCCACATCCCCATTCCCCGCTACCCGGAGCCCTATGAGTAGGGAAGCAGCATTAATTGCAGAAGACAGGCTCTGTGGCAGGAGAGGGCTTAAAAGATCAGTAGGCATGTGCCCTGGTTTTGTGGTGCCATTGGGCAGGGACTTTGTGGAGAATATTAGGAGTTGGAAGGTAGCAAGGTTCGGATTGCATTTCGAGGACGTGGGAGAGGATGAGAGTGACTGGGAGAGTTGTCTGTGGATTGGGCATTAATGTGAATATTTGTATGTGTGGGAGGTGGATTACGAGGGAAAGCTGGAAGAAGCAATAGTTGGTACTGTTAGAAGCGGCCTAGATAAATCCTGGAGTTGGGGGATCTAGATGGGCATAGTCTAGGGAAGCTATGAGAACATGTGGGGTTGGAGAAGAGAAAGCATTCTTTACTACATTGAGCCTGTTCGGTTAATAACAGCTCACAGTTTAACACTAGGGGAAATATTCCAAGCAGACTGTCCATGGATTCAATTCAGCTCCATTTGTTAGTGTTTGTCGAGTTTTTGGATTGGTATATAGTGGCCTAAGTTTGCAGCTGCATGCTGCAGGAGTTTGGCATGCTATTTACAGTTTTCTGTGGTTGATATTAATTTAGCTTCCTAGATCAAAACTGCTCAGGTTTGGGGAAACATTTTAAAATAAGCATTTTGTGGATTAATATATTAATTTACTATGTAACACAAGTTCCAGTAGTATCAGCTTCCTTCCACCCAACCCTATCTGCGTCTAGAAAAGATTTGGGTTTTCGAAAGAGAGCCCACAGAATTATTTATAAGATGTATAGTTTATTATTTTACGTTTTAGTTTATTTTTTTTTAAATCAGTGTCTCTTAATGTAGCCCTTGGAAGCCCAGAACTCACTATGTAGACTAGGTTGGCCTTGAACTCACAGATAAACATTTGTCTTGGCCTCCTAAAATACTGGGCTTATAAGCATGCATGACTACACCTGGCTGGGACTACAGGCATGTGCCCTCATGACAGGGCTAGCTTGTTTTGTTTTGTTTTTTTGATTTTTTGTGTGTGTGCTTTGTTTGGTTTTTCGAGACAAGGTTTCTCTGTAGCTTTGGAGGCTGTCCTGGAACTAGCTCTTGTAGGCCGGGCTGGTCTTGAACTCACAGAGATCCGCCTGCTTCTGCCTCACAAGTGCTGGGATTAAAGGTGTGTGCCACCGACACCCGGCAGAGTTTTTATTTTTATTTTTTTTTGTTTATTTTATTTAATTTACATATCTAATTGAGAACCTTGCTTTTAATGGTTGGGTACTAGCTCTGGTCCACTCACCCCTCCACTGGCTCTAATGTGACTCATACTACAGATCTTTAAGCACCTTTGCTTCTAGGTCCTCTCTCTTTAACTGTTATTTAAGCACTATGGTCATACACTTTGAAGATGTGCTGTTCTTTCATTTTTGGTTGATGTTTGCCATTATTCAGAGAATCAGTATAGGCTTAGCCAAGGAGGAACATCTTACACACCCTTGGATCTAGGAGTTTTAAGATGAATTGAGTGTGTGTGTGTGTGTGTGTGTGTGTGTGTGTGTGACATTTCATATGTCCTTAATATTAAGCTTAACTGAGAGAATTTCTTCCCTCCTCCAAATTTCCCCAGCCACATTCTCAGATACTCGGAATGAAGACATTTTAGAGCATTTTTAGTGGTTACCCTTTTTGAAGGTCACATGTTCCTTCAAGAATTCACAAAAAAGGGGCTAAGAGCACTGGCTGCTCTTCCAGAGGACGTGGGTTCAGTTCCCAGCACCCACATGACAGCTCATTGTCTGTAACCCCAGTTCAGGCGCTTGACACCCTCACACAGACACACATGCAGGCACCCACATGGCAGCTCACCATTGTCTGTAGCTGCAGTTCCAGACCTGACAGCCTTACATAGGCATACATACAGGCACAATCCCAATGCACTTAAAAAATAAAAATAATTAGAAAACAATTAAAAAGTAAAGGAATTAATGAAAGATACAGACTCTTAGGAAATGTACTTACAAATGCATATGAACACCTAATCTTGCACGAGGTTTGGTTTCTTTGTTTAAATGGAAGACATAAGATTGAGTGAGTTTTCCTAACTTGGCTTAGTCCTTTTCATTTAGAAGTGTTACAAAATTTAGTTCTTCGACTTTTTCTTGGATAGTCTTCCATATATATGTGTGTATCACCCACCGTTTTCTTCTGTCTACATATGTGTGTTTGTGTGCATATGTGTGTACATGCATATGGAGGCCAGTGGACAATTTCAATGTCATCCCTGAGACACTATCCGTCCCTTTTGTGAGACAGGGCCTTAGTCCACGTTGTGGAGCTCTCGCCTGAGGTTCCGGAGTGCCAGGATTGCAGGTGTGTGCTATCACACCTTCCTGATTTTTTCCCTCATGTGATACTAACCCCCTCCTTGTTGAACTATTTCCAGCAATTCTCCATTCCACTGCACTGGGTGGCTATATTGAAGGAGCTCTGAATACATGTGATGTTCTGTAGGATAAAGGTAGAACAGTGAAAACCCAAGATAGGTAGTGTGTTTGTGTTTGTTTGTTTGTTTGTTTGGCTTGCCTGAAACTCACTGTTTAGATCAGGCTGGCCTCAAACTCACAGAGATCCACTTGCCTCTACGTATGCCGCCACTCCTGGCTCTGGGTGTATATGTTTAAGTCCACAGGAATCTTCCCATTTATACTTGTGCCATTGTAATAGAGCCAATTTCTCTTTATTTTTGCCAACTTTGAACACTGAGTGTTTTCTAACCCGAGTTCATTGATTCAGACCACATATGTGTGCACGAGCATATATATGCATACATACGCAGTGCATACACATATGTATGGTTTTTGTTTTTTGTTTTTGTTTTTATTTTGAGACAAGGTTTCTCTATGTAGCCCTGGCTGTCCTAGAACTCACTCTATAGACCAGAGTAGGCCTTGAACTCAGTAAGATCTGCCTGACTCTGTCCCCCCAAATACTGGGATTAAAGGTGTGGATCACTAGCCACCACTGTCAGGCTGTGTTTGCTATTTAAATGTGTTGGTTATGTTTTAGCAGCTTCTTGTATTGCATATTAAACTGTATGTTAAGCACATGGTCTCAGTTTTCCTGTCCAGCCTTATGAGTGTTAATACCTTTGCGTATATTTTTTTGCTGCTTGGATTTCTTCTGTGAAGTGCTTGCTTGTGTCCTTAGCATTCACTTTTCTAATTGTTGTGCTTATGATTTTTACACTCTTGAAGAATCCCTTTTTCTTTTTTTTTTTTGCATTGTATTTGAGAGAAGTAGGTTAGAACTATTAGCCTTTATTGTTTTTATTAACTTTATCTTAGTGTGCATGTGTGTGTTTCTTAGGGAACATGACACTAGGTTAGAGGACAACCTCAGGTGTTGGTTTCCACC